TGAGAAATGTCTACCATGTTTCCCCCAAAATAAGACCTACCCAAAAAATAAGCCCTAGCAGGATTTCTATGCATTTGTTAAACATAAGCCCTACCCCGATAATAAGACCTAGTGATGGGCATGGCTATGTAGCGTGTCTGCACATCCATGGCATGCATTTCAGTGTGAGCGCTACGAAGACCAGAATACCTTTTATCTGCCACAGCTCTTTTCTCTGAGCTGTTAGCACTTGTGCAGGTGTGCGTGTGGTAACCACGGTCTCAGGAATCCTATTGCACACGTGCAAACGGCTAGGAAAAAGGAGTTCACGCATCACTAGCACCAGCACCACCAACAAGATCAGCTCCCCCTGTCAGGTTCCAGAAGAAGATGAAGATGACTTAACTATATTTGAATAAATGTAGATTGTTGTATTATACTTAATAAAAATAAGACATCTCAGGTGGTGCCTGTGGCTCAAAGGAGTAGGGCGCCGGCCCCATATGTGGGAGGTGGTGGGTTCAAACCCAGCCCTTGCCAAAAACTGCAAAAAAAAAAAGACATCCCCTGAAAATAAGCCCTAGTGTGTCTTTTTGAGAAAAATTAAATATAAGACAGTGTCTTATTTTCAGGGAAACATGGTAGTCAGGTCCTCGGCCTATTTTTTAATCAAATTTTGTTTTCTTGCTATTGAAGTAAGTTCCTCATATAATTTAGAGATTAACCCCTTATCAGATATATAGTTTGCAAATATTTTCTCCCACTCTGTGGGTTGTCTCTTTTCTCTGTTGTTTCCTTTGATATACAGAAACTTTTTCGTTTCATAAAATTCCATTTGTCTATCTTTGCAATTGTTGCCTTTGGTACTAAGCCCTTCTTAACCCAGTCCAGCTCATTTCTCAAGCCTCCTTATTTTATTTATTTACTTATTTAGAGACAGAGTCTCACTATGTCAACCTCGGTAGAGTGTCGTGGCATTACAGCTCACAACAACCTTAAACTCCTGGGCTCAAGGGATTCTCTTGCCTCAGCCTCCCAAGTAGCTGGGAGTACAGGCACCCACCCCAATGCCTGGCTATTTTTGTTGCAGTTGTCATTGTTGGTTAGCTGGCCTGAGGCCGGGTTCAAACCTCCACCTTTAGTGTATGTGGCTGGTGCCTTAACAACTATACTACGGGCACCAAGCCAAGCCTCCCTATTTTCAAGTCATTCCAAACCATTGTCTGCCTACCTATAACAGACTAGTAGCTCATTCTCCAACATGCTCAACATCTTTGCACCTCTTCGCCTCTATCATTTGCTAAATGTTGTTCCATCCCCTTTCTACCTGCAAACTCCTATTCATCTTTTAAGGTCAAATTCACATGTCATCTCTTCCCTGAACTTCACCAAACTATACCTCTCCTTTCCAAAGCTAAATTAACTGCTTTCTTATCTAAATTCCCAGAGCATTTTACAAATCCTTATAAGATTTATTAAGTTAAATTATAGTTACTAGGTGATATAATTATCTCCCCCTTTATAGTCTGAACTTATTGAAGGCAACTATCATATATCCCCAGCAGTAAAGCAGTTTTACACACAATTAATAAATTACTTGCTGAATTGAAGTTCAAAAGAATAAACTATAAAATCCATGAGGTTAGTTCCCAAAACTCATTAATATCTTCAAATACAACATGAACTATTCTGTAATCAACATGATCAGTATTTACATTTGATTATTTACAAAAATCTGCTAAAGGGAGGAATCAATCTCTCTCTCTCTTTAAATACTTTAACTTAAAATGTATATAGTAGGTATATTGTCATTCTCTAACTTAATGACATATAACCAAATTCTAGTCTTTTTTAATTAGAGTTCTGCTTCTATGGGTCACAAATATCATACACATTGCTCAGTTTCCATTTTTTAGAAAGCAAATAAAGAACTTGAGAAACAGAATTCTAGAGTTTTACAATTTCTCCCTTATATATTATTTAAATTACATAATTACAATAACAAGTATAACTGGCATTAAGAAGGTTTGGTATATAATTCCTCTACTAGGTATATATCCAGAAGACCAAAAATCACACTACAACAAAGGTATTTGTACCAGAATGTTTACTGCAGCCCAATTCATAATTGCTCAGTCATGGAAGAAACCCAAGTGCCCATCAACCCGAGAATGGATTAATAAATTGTGGTATATGTACACCATGGAATATTATGCAGCCTTAAGAAAGATGGAGACTTTACCTCTTTCATGTTTACATGGATGGAACTAGAACATATTCTTCTTAGCAAAGTATCTCAAGAATGGAAGAAAAAGTATCCAATGTACTCAGCCCTACTATGAAACCAATTTGATATGAAAGCTATAACCCAATTATAGCCCAAGAATATAGGGAAAGGGGAGAGAGAGGGGAGGGGTTGGGGAAGGCTTGGTGGAGGGAGGGTAATTGGTGGAACCACACCTACGGTGTATCTTACAATAGTACATGTGAAATTTACTAAATGCCTTAACACAATAACTAAGAAAATGCCGTGAAGGCTATGTTAACCAGTTTGATGAAAATATTTCAAATTGTATATAAAACCAGCACATTATACTCCATGATTGAATTAATGTACACAGCTATGATTTAATAAATAAAAAAAAGGTTTGGTTTATCAATGATAATAATTCTTAGTGTATAAACAAACTGGTGAGAGAAGTACAGAGGTACACTTGAAGGAAGCTTCTGATGGACACCATTTACCATGGATTCATCAAGCCTTAGGCCCTCAGTCAATGCATTTTATGGAAAGGATGTCATTTACTCCAATGAGACAATTAAGTGGAAGTTAGTTAAGAATTTCCACATACTACAACTGAAAACAATCCTTCATGAGTACACTTAACAGCAGAATCAATTTCAATTAAATGCTCTGGTGAAAAAAAATAAATGTTAACATATTATATAACCCAAATATTCAGACTCGTTCTTGCCTGTTGATTCTAGTTTCCACTTCTGGACATACACCTTCAAACCAACTCATCTCAGAGCAAAACTACATATTTTTAAATCTCAGCTCAATTAGAAACTTATGCCAGAATCAAGGTTCTCCTGTAGTTCATCCCCTAAACCTGTTCTCCTCCTTCTTTGCTCCTCAGTTTCGTTCAGTTATCCTGACTGCCTGCTTGAACTTGTGACCACATATTCAACTTGTTCTTCTGCAACATCTATAATCTCCTTTCCACTGATTGCCTGACCAGACTTCTGACTAATCAGCTTGAATACATGCAAGCTGTTCTTCTTCCTGATTGCTATCTTACTGTACCTATGTATAGCCAGATTTCTACATATCTGCATACCTGCCCAGTTCCTGCAAGATTTCTTTCTGGTCTATATCCTAACTTTTCCATTTTACCTTTACACTCCCAATTCTACCATCTTTTCAGCTAAAATCCATAGTTACTCATGGTTACTAAGATCACATGCAAAGTGCAATAAGTACATTAGAATGAAAAAGCAGTGGCACTAAGGCACTGAACAATCCTAGAAAAGCAGTACAGTATGCTCTGTACACACTTTAGTTAAGGCATTAACCAATGGACTTAGACATTTTAGAAAAGTTTCAATAATAGTTGTAACAAAAATTTTTGGATTTTCTCAGGAAATAAATTTTAAAAATTAGAATAATCATTCTTTAGGAATTTGAATTTTCTGGCTTGGCGCCTGTAGCTCAAGTGGCTAAGGTGCCAGCCACATACACCTAAGGTGGCGGGTTCGAATCCAGCCCGGGCCTGCCAAAACAACAATGACAGCTGCAACCAAAAAATAGCTGGGCACTATGGCGGGTGCCTGTGGTCCCAGCTACTTGGGAGGCAGAGGCAGGAGACTCGCTTGAGCCCAGGAGTTGGAGGTTGCTGTGAGCTGTGATGCCACAGCACTCTACCCAGGGGGATAGCTTGAGGCTCTGTCTCAAAAAAAAAAAAAAGGAATTTGAATTTTCTAAAAATTTATCACATATAAATCTTATAAAGAGTAATCAATTTTATAATAATCATATTTTAATAATAAATACTGAGCTATTTAATAAATATTGAGCTCTTTAATAATAAATATTGGCTCTCAAGTTTGAGAGAAGAATAAAAAAGATGACTTGTAGTCTCATACTAATTTTCATAGCCTATAACCCTTACGTCATTTCCAAACCTGCACTTAGTAATAATTATGGCAACTTTAAAACCCAGCATTAATAACAACTTCTAGACTTTTTCATTTTAATTTTTTATAAAATTTTAAAATTATTGTGGACACATAATAGCTGGATATCTTCATTAAGTATATGTGTTTTCTAATTCACATGCAATGTGAATTAATCAAATCAGGATAACTAGAATAGCCACCACCTTAGGCATTTATCATTTCTTTGAGTTAGGAACATTCCAAATTCACTCTTTTAGTCATAGACTTTTTAATATCTCTGAAATTTTACTTAAGAAAACAGAAACAATACTTTTATTTTGATATAAGGATCCTTTTGACTAATCACATCAGAAAAAAAAGACAGTGAGATTACTCTAACCTCTGATTCCAGAGTAACATTGAACAATAGAATGCTATTTTACCATCAACTGCTTCAAAGTATTTTCCAAATGCTGTATCTACAGAAGCATAAATTATGACAGACAACATATGCCTTTAGTCACCAAGAATGAAGTTAACAGAAATCCTATTTTTTTTAAAAATCAGAACATACTTTCCTTTAAACTACCTTTATCAACATGAACCTACCTTCCCAGCTGTAAGGTGTTACTACCCCTATTAATCATATTTTTTCCTAAGATAAAATATTATTTAAGCATGTCCTTTATTTAAATATGCCTTCAATTTGATAAACATGATCTATGTACAAAAGAAAGTAATTAGGTGAACATTAGCTATCACAACAAAACCTGTTAGAGATTTTTATGTGAGATGTTCCCCTAGCCATCTAAAAGATAAAAGCACAAATTCTTACAGTCTAGCACTGCAAATTAAAAACATACCAATTTCTTCCACTTCTTCTAGGAAATCATTATATTCTCTTAGACTAGGAAAGTCTTCTTCCCTTTTATTGTATCTTCAAGAGAACCAAAAAAAAAAAAAAATCAACATATGACATATCATTCTTTTCTTTTTTATTATTTGAGATAGACCATTTTATCTAAATGGTTTGTTTGTTCCTACCTAATTTATACATGATATATAAAAAGGAATTTGCATACAACACTGTTTCTTTTTCTTTTTGAGACAGAGTCTCACTTTGTCACCCTCGATAGAGTGCCGTGGCTTCATAGCTCACAACAACCTCAAACTCCTAGGCTCAAGTGATCCTCCTGTCTCAGCCTTCCAAGTAGCTGGGACTACAGGCACCCACCACAACACCTGGCTATTTTTAGAGAGGGGATCTCACTCTTGCTCAGGCTGGTCTCAAACCTGTGAGCTCAGGCAATCCAACTGCCTCAGCACAGAGTACTGGGATTACAGGAGGGAGTCACAGCACCCAAACCCCACAATACTGTTTCCTTACACCAGGTTTGTTAATTAGGCCAAAAATGCTTTCTTAAAGCCTTACAGCTATGAAGAAGGAGTAGAATTAAGAGAAAATAGTACAGGGTAGCGCCTGTGGCTCAAAGGAGTAGGGCGCCAGCCCCATATACTGGTGATGGCGGGTTCAAACCCGGCCTTGGCCAAAAAATGAAAAAAAAAAAAAAAAGAGAGAGAGAGAGAGAGAAAATGGTATAATATGTAAAATTCATGTATGACTTGAGGGAAAGACTGGGAAATGAGCTTATGTAAGTTATTATCATTGGAAATTATGATATTGTTTATTTTAATAAAAAGATTCATTAAGTAAACAAAAAATTAACTTAAAAGTGACTCCCATATTTTTCATAACAGTTATAGTCTAAAGAATTCTAGATTGGGAAAATTGGTAAACACAATAGAACCTCCATACATTGACTACCTCCTTAAGTTCGCCTAATTTTCGTAGGGACACATACCATATGTACACGTAAGTATAGTAGGCCAAGTTTCCTAGGTTGACCAGTTTGTTACATTCCCTTGAGTAGTCAACTTACAGAGGTTCTAGATTGCATATGGTAATATACCTGTGAAAAACTATAAGGAATTAATAATAAAAGATCAGAATCTGTGAGACTACCTCCCAGAAGTAATCCAAATATAGTAAAACCTCTGTAGTTCACCACCTCCCTACACTGACCAGCTCCTCAAGTTGACTTTAATTTTCTTAGACCAGAAATGCACCACCTGTATGCATCAGTACCGTAGGCCTAGTTCCTTAAGTTGATCACTTCACCTCATTCCATATGTTGACCAGTTTGTTATAGTTCTTGGGGTGGTCAACTTACAGAGGTTGTACTATAATAAAAGAGTAGCTAGGAACATGGATAAAGTATCATTGGTTAGATATTAGAAAGATGCTTAAAACACTGATGTCCTGGGTTGAAATGTATACTACCAAAAGTAAGAAGAAAGTAAATAAATATATTATTTTAATTTCAAAAGCAATAGGATGCCTTATAATAGAAGAACAGATAAAATGAAACCCAAAACTCCTCAATGAGTAAAAAGTAAAATGTAAATTGTAAATAAAAAAGATTAAAATATATATAGGTCTGTACATTTAACTATACACACATACACTATACCTACATATATGTGTGGATTATATAACATCCATATATAACATGTATGTGGATTCTATAACATACATACCAAAATAAATTGTAGCCAACATATAATTTTCTCTAATAACCTTCAAATCTTAACTTAATGTTACCTCCTCAGCCCTACTTGATATCACTGACCTACTAACACTCAGCCACTAACATCATAAGCACTTCCTCAATTTATAAAAATGAGGAAGCTTTGTTTGCTTGTTTTATTGTCTTTTTGCTATACTCTAAGTCTCACAAGCACGGGGTTTACAGCCACTTTATTCATCATTTCATACCTCCTGCCTAACATGCATAACATCGTGTTTACACAGTAGATTCTCAATACATATCTACTAAATAAATTAAACAAATAGGAAATAAATTATAAAGCCATCAATCAAGAGACTCTTTTTAAACAAAAGTTAGATTAATGATATTACTTAGTTCTCTAAGAACTTTAATTTGTGTTAAATACATAGATGAATTTAGTTATTCACTTGCCACTCTGCCCATATTTATATCAGCAAACAATGGTATCAATTATTGAAATAATTGCCAAAGTCCTTTTCGTTGACTGAATCATTCAAGCAATAATACTTACATCTTTAGCACTTTTTTCCGAATCTCAACCTCTTTGTCAACAGTGGGATCTTCAAAGAGCTGCACCCTGAAGTTGCTCTTTCTAAGTGGAGTACCACACTCAGGACAGTTTCCAGCTCCTCTCACAAACAGTAAGTCCACACAACTCTCACACCTGTAGGGAGAGAAAAAAAACATAACAATTAAATCTGTAACAAATCTGAATAGTTTGCCTCTTTGAGGGAAGGAGGGTGAGACATGAAAACTAGTCATTGCTACTTAATGACTACTTACAGATTCCTTACCAATAAATCTTTTGGAAAATGTTCATTTTCATTTGGAGCTTACTTTTCAGATATAGGTATCATAAGGGTTATCAATTTAGTTTTATAAATTAAAGAAATTTATAAACTGAGTAGGAAACTTGGAAGATTCAGAACAGCAGGACAGGGAGAACTCAAACAGCATGGAAAAGACTGGTCACTCCCATGCCCAGCCCAGTATCAACCTCAGGCCTAGGCAAGAGAAGCCTCTACTAAGGGCCTGCACTTTACAGAGCCCTGAATACCCCAAGCAGTAAAACAGACTCTTTTCGTTCCTTTCATTCCTGTAAGGAAATTTTCTGAAAGTTCAGCAACCAGTTGAGCAAATGAAAATCACAAGAGAGAGGTACTAGCTGAACAAGGCCCCATAGATGATAAAGAATTTAATCCAGTATTAATCCAGTATTACATAGAGAAGGAAAACTCAACACAGCTTCCACTATGAGAAATCCTAGAAAGAGCAGCAGCTTTTAAAAGCTGTATTCAGTTAAAGTTGAGTGCCCCAAATCAACTAAAGTGATTGCCCAAGTAAGCCAAACACCTGCACCCTCTCTGTTCTCTTTTGGGTAGTATAATTTTGGGATAAGCATAGAAGTTCTTGGAAGTCTTGAATTGAAAACACAAGGAACTGGAGAGGTGCACTTCTGTTGACAGATTCCTGGGGGCTTGGTGGGTTCAGTCTGCATATATTGTTTACATGGATCCAGGTAACACCTAACCATTCCTGCCCTGCCCCAACAGATCCATGCCACCACTCAGGCATGGACAGGAGAGATCTATTCCTTTACCCTCTGGTCTTAAGGGTGCAGGTTGCTGGGAGCTTAAGATGCAGTATGGGAACTCAGGGTAGGCCTAGGATGTAGCTTGAATTATAATTTTTAAATATTCAAATATTCTGATACCATTCAAACATTTGTAGTCCTCCCGTTGTAATTTTGCCCAACTTCGTATGTTTTAGGGACAAACCGTCCTACTCACTCCTTTTTTTTTTTGCAATACCTGAACTTATGTATTTCTTCATATTGAGTTTCTGTACAACATACTTCATGAAGGCAGAATTTGACCTATTTTGTTCTCTATCCCCAGGGCCTGACAATAAGTACTCATCAGATAAACCTTACAGAACAAAAAATAATAAATAAAAGACAATAGGAAAAAGAGACATTATAATGAATGGAAAAAAGTTGATTCCTTCCAAGTTGTGTATGGAATAAGCTAAATGAACAGAATTTTCAGGGTTGCTAGTAATATTGGCCTTTACATATTTCTATCTTAATGGTATCTTCAAAAAACAGCAGGAAAAAACATCCCAAATATATTTTATTAACAGTTTTATTACCAAGATCAACAAAATCCCAGATAAACCACTTCAGGAAGTTTAGAAGTGGTACATTTTCACCATTCTTTGTGGTTAGAGGAAATTGAATCCAACTATAGAAACTAAAACAGACACACTTTACAACCATACTGATTAAAGATATTTATAAATATCCAAAATTTTCAAAATTACATAACCAGGTCATAGAGACTAGACTCAGTCAAACAATTCAGTTAGCAAGGTAATACAGAACACTACTATTTCTAGAATTCATATTGTGTATTTGACATATTATTTGTTTCCAAAAACAGTTGAATGTCCCCATTTTTTTACAATCTGCCTTAAATCATAACAATTTAGGCTCGGTGCCTGTGGCTCAAGTGGCTAAGGCGCCAGCCACATACACCTAAGGTGGCGAGTTCGAATCCAGCCCGGGCCCGCCAAAACAACAATGACGGCTGCAACCAAAAAATAGCCAGGTGCTGTGGCGGGCGCCTGTGGTCCCAGCTACTTGGGAGGCTGCGGGTGCCTGTGGTCCCAGCTACTTGGAAGGCTGAGGCAGGAGACTCGCTTGAGCCCAGGAGTTGGAGGTTGCTGTGAGCTGTGATGCCACGGCACTCTACCCAGGGGGATAGCTTGAGGCTCTGTCTCAAAAAAAAAAAAAATCATAACAATTTAAACAGTATAATGATCTTTTACAGTAGTTTATTCTCTTATATAGCATTTTCCCTTTCTAATTCTAACTGCTAAAAGAGTACTTTTTTTTTTGAGACAGAGACTCAAGCTGTTGCCCTGGATAGAGTCCTATGGCATCATAACTCCCAGCAACATCCAACTCAAGCTCAAGCAATCCTCTTGCCTCAGTTTTTTTCTATTTTTAGTAGAAAAAAACTTTTTGCTCAGGCTGGCCTCATACTCATGAAGTCAAGCAATCCACTCACGTCAGCCTCCCAGAATGCTGGGATTATAGGCATGAGCCACTGCACCTGGCCAAAGAATACTGTTTTGTTTTTTGAGACAGAGTCTCAGGCTGTCTTCCTGGGTAGAGTGCTATGGCATCATAGCTCACAGCAACCTTAAACTCTTGGGCTTAAGTGATTCTCTTGCCTCAGCCTCCCAAGTAGCTGAGATTACAGGCTCCTGCCACAATGCCCAGCTATTTTGTTGTTGTTGTTGTTGCAGTTGTCATTGTTGTTTTAGCAGGCCCAGGCCAGGTTTGAACCTGCCAGCCTCAGTGTATGCAGCCAGCGCCCTACCCACTGAGCTATGGACACCGCCAAAGGATACTTTTTTTAAAAGCTCAAACAACATAGAATTATACAGAGAAAAAAACTGAAAGTTTTACTTCATTCTCTTCTATAACTCACTTCCCACAGGTAACACACTACTGCTAAGTCTAGCATTTATGTGGCCATATCTTCTACATATTTATGAAATATATATAAACAATCTATCATGTAAAAAAAGAATAGAAGTTGATAATTACTAGTTCACTTTATCTGACAACAAGGCAACAGTACATGGATGATCTCTTGCCTCCAAAAGTGTTTTTTTCAAATAAAACTTATATTCTACAGAACAAAGAAAAATTTACTGAAAAAGCTCAAATCTTCAGTCATTCCTCATTCCCTGAAACATTTTTGTGGTTTGTCCTTTGTTTTGAAAACCCAAAATGCTACCTTCATTCTCTTATCTCTCTAAATTCCTTATTTTTAGCAGATTTTTTTCTTTTGTCAAGAATATTCAATCCCCAGCCTTTTGTAGTCCTCCCGTTGTAATTTTGCCCAACTT